TAGCCTGCCCTTTAATGGTTGCTTTCGGTCTATAATACAGATCAAACTGACTCGGTTTCATTGCCCATTTGAGTAACTTACCCAAAGCCTATGGCTTCTGAAGGACTTGTTTGGATAGTTGGTCAAGATATAGATTATGTGAGCATGGAAGTAGGGTCGTAGCTTTCTAGAGGTGATCAGCAGGGCATAAGCTAATCGCTTCATTTCTAGATACCTCATTTCGGCGTCTAGCAGTCGCTTTCTCGCATAATATATTAGCCATTGGACTCTACTTTTATCCCGAATGAGAGTTGCGCTGGACTCTACTTTTATCCCGAATGAGAGTTACGTTGACCGCATGCTGAGAGACGGACAGGTACAGGAGTAGAATTTCCTTGAGGAGAGGCTTAAACAGGAGAGGTGGCTTTCCGAGGTGCTCTTTTATGCTCTAAAAAGTATGCTTGCACTCTGGAGTCCATTCGAAATTTTTGTTGGCCCTAAGTGTATTGAAAAATGGTAAGCAACGACCTGTTGCCCTTGATATGAAGCGACTGAGAGCCGCTATTCTCCCATTTAGACTTTGAACCTGTTTTCGGTTGGTCAGGCTTTTCATATCAAGAAGAGCTTGGATCTTCTCGAGGTTGATTTCTATCCCCCTCTGGTTAACCATATACCCTAGGAATTTTCCCGAGGATACTCCAAAAGAGCACTTGAGAGGATTGAACTTCATTATATACTTTCGAAGTACGCTGAACATCTCAGCGAGATATGTTATGTGATCTGAAGCGACATGCAACTTGATTAGCATGTCATCAATATAGACTTCCATCGATTTTTCGATCTGCTTGAAAAACATACAGTTAACCAACCGCTGGTAAGTTGCCCCAGCATTTTTTAAGCCGAACGGCATGACTTTGTAACAATACAGCCCCCGATTTGTAACAATTGAGGTATGCTCTTTGTTCAGTGCGTACATCGAAATCTAATTTTATCCCTAATAGGTATCCATAAAACTCAGCAGCTCATGTCCGGAGGTAGCATTGACGAGCTGGTCGATTATTGACAAGGGGAAGTTGTCTTTCAGATAGACTTTGTTGAGGTTGGTGAAGTCAACATAGGTTCGCCACTTGTCGCTACGCTTCTTTACCAAGACAAGATTTGCAACCCAGCTCGGGTAAAACGCCTCTCGAATATACCTATTCAAAAAGAGCTTATCTACCTTGATTTTCAAGGTAGCATAGCGTTCAGGGTCCATTGCTCTTCTCTTTTGGCGAACCAGCTTGACTGCACTGTCAATATTCAACACATGGCATATGACATTCGGGCTGATCCCGATCATGTCAGCATGAGTCCATGCGAACACGTCAACATTTTCTCTGAGGAAACTTGTCAGGTCTTTAGCGAGCTAAGGGTTGAGATTACTCCCGATTCTCAACACTCATGTTGGCTCATTGTGATCGACTGATACCTCAGATAAATTCTCGACTGGCCCACTATGAAGGCATTGTTGGATGCGAAGATCCATGTTATCCTCTACCGGGTCAGACTATGGCTCGATCTTACTGATCGTCATTGCTTGTTTGGGGATGCCAACTGGTATCCCTCTTCCCTTGCACGCCATCTGTATTGCTCTTATGTAGCAGTCGAGGCGTTGAGATCTGTTTACTTCCCCCATCCCCATCGAGGTGGGCAACTTCATTTTCAGATAGTAAATGGATGTGAGTGCCTTCAAATTTCTCAGTAGAGGTCATCCCAAAATTCCATTGAAGGTGGACGGACAGTCTACTACCAAAATTTTTGTTATTTTGGTCATTTCGTCGGTTTCTCCCAACGTGACTGGTGGGTGTTGAATCCAACAAATAATAAAATTCTCACTCTCAAAAAAAAAAAATTGTAACAGTGATGAGCAAGGTCGTGTCCATAGAGATTGGGTAGATTTATTTTAATGAAAATTAAAGCAAAGAAAAAGGGGGGTTTTGAGATTTTGAAGTGAGATAAAAGAAAGCAATTATAATCAACTAAAAATTAAGGAGAAATCAATATCAAGCAAATATCCAACCAAAGGTATAATTTCGGAATTGGTTCAGAGAATTGATCACAGATACAAGGATAAAATCTTCTATTCTTCACTAAATTGGTTATGGTTATTAACAAACTCTAACAACCTATCTCTCTTTACTTCCTCGATAATCAAAACAAGCTCTTTGATTACTTCCCTTGTCAATAAACAACCCTAAACAAGCTCTTAGGATTTAATCTATCGACAACATTAATAATTAGAGAGACTACCAATTCCAGCCAACAAATACACAAGCTCGATTCATTTAGACTAGATTATACACCTTCATAACATAAATTGAAAATCCCTTTATAATCAACTATGTTATTTTACCACTAATATTAGAACACTTAAACAATTACGGATTTAAAGTTCTAAATGGCAATTTATCAACTTGATAATTGAACAACGGGCCCTTTGCATCAATCAATCAAGACAATAATAATTAATAAACATAGAAGATATATAAATAGTAAAGAAATAAAAGAACACTGAAAATTATTTAGATCTCACAATTCTTGAAGAACCAAAACTTCAATTATCCTTCAGTTGGAAGAAAAGTATTTAGCTACACATAATTAAAAGAATGCCTCAAGAAAAGAGAAGAGAGAGAGGTAGAGATAGATGTCTCCCCCCTTTCTTATGAATATTCTCCCTATTTATAACTCCATCTAATAATAGCTACCCTATCTAGATCAGGAAACTAATTAAAAGCAAATCTCACCAAAATAGGGAGTCTTGGCAAATCCTAGAGATTAAGAAAGGGTAAATAAATCTTTCCAGCTGTCATACATATCTTTTTCTCCAACAAATTCGTAACCCTAAGTCAAAAATCTCGGATCCAGTAAGGCGCGCCCACGCTTTATCTGCTGACTGCTTTTGTGAACATTCTGGGAAAACAGGACGTGCCCACGCTTTAAGCAAAATCCGCTTCTGGAATGTATCTCTTTTTGAGCTCCGATTTTTTCTCTCCAAAACTCTTGATTTTGAATTCAATTTGATTTAACTCCTCAATCTACTCCACAAAATACGAAACATAATCAAAATCCAAGATTTAAGCATTTATAACCATTAAAACATGAGGAAATATAACAAATATATAGATATTATGAATGCTTATCAAATTCCTCCACACTTAAACAATGCTTGTCCTCAAGCATACAATAGCTCAAGTTCGTCACCTTTTCTCATCATCATTCCTTCTTCTACCTTTACTCATCTTCTTTAATCCAAATTATCATGCCTTAAAGATTTAAATCTAAAGACAAATAAGAAACGAGAAATTTCATAGAGTAAATTCTTATAAACCACATCCATGAACAATCACCTCAATGATCTTCTCGAAATCAAAATGCAATAGGATCTAACACCCTCTCATTGGATTCACTCAATAGGCTCAAAGTGTTTAGGGTATCAATGAACTCTCGAGTCAAAACATAGAAGATCTTTACCATAAGCTTGCTAATATATCGCATCTTTATCATCAATTGATTGAATTGAATGCAAAAAATCTAAGGGTCTTAAATGGGTTGTAACGAGGCTTAGGTAAGGTGCGGTGAGAGGAACTTTTAGGTACTTTTATCAAAGGAATTATACCACTTCTTCACATAAAGCACAACTCAATAACGTCAAATGTTTTCTTCAATCAATTCACTTCCAAACAATTGAAATTGCACAACTTTTCTTTCTTCCTGGCCCCTTATTATTATTATTATTTTTTAAAGAACATTGAGGCACTTGTAACTTGAATCACTTTATTCCCAGCATCTTTCAATCCTTTCAAAGATAATTTGAAGCTTCATGTGAACAAGCTAGTACGATCCTTCAATTCAAGGTTCAAAAGAGGGAAATCAACAAAAGAATGAGTTGACAATGCTTATATCATGGTTAAATTCCAACAAAAGGGCCAAGGTTCAAAATTGGCTTTCTAAGGTAAAAATCAAGGTAGGCTTTTTAAGAAAGCTAAATGGCTCCACCTAAATGCCCTTATTAATTCAATGCATCCAATTCAACAATGTAGTCTCCTGACATGCATAACAAAGCAAGTTCTAGAAAAATCAACTATGTATGACTATCACTCAATTAGGAAAATGAAGCATAATATAATATGAATGCTTATTGGCTCAAAAGTGCACAAAAAGGTCATTTGCATTAGATCCCACACATTTTCCATTCAATCAATCATCAAGAGCAATTAATCACTATGTAGTAAATAAGAATTCAACTATTCATGCTAATCCCTTATTACGCCTCAATTTATCTCAATAATTCACAATAATCCTGATCATTTAAGACAAGCATCGACAGAATCTAGAATTTAGAAGAGAAGGATTACAAACAAAAACGAAAGTATCACTTGGATTTTTGAAAATTTTCTTGGAAAATGACGCAAAAATTGATCAAAAGGGAGCTAAAAGTGAAGTTCAAAGTAAAATCAAATTCATATGTCAAAGACCCTCCCCCACACTTAATCCATACATTGTCCTCAATGTATAAAAAAAAAAAGATGCTTAAAAACTATAAAAGAACAAGAGTAAGTAGAAAACTCCCCTGAAAATGTTGAGCATCAACTAAGATATCAGTCACGTGCTTGGGGGTGAAGGTGGCGTGAATGGTGCGAGGTGGAGGAGGCGGTTGTTCAACCAAGAGAACAATTGGAATAAGGCGTGGGCACGTTGTATTCAAAGATCTCGTCTAGTTTGTTGCCCAATTCCATGATTCAAGATTTTCCATAACGCGTGCCCACGGGTTACGAAAATCATCTTCTGCCAAAAAATTTTGGAAAGAAAATCAAATGCACTCCAAAAAATGATTAAAAAAATAAAAATAATCTAAATAAAATAAAGAAAACAAGGAAAGTAAGACAGAAAGTTGGGTTGCCTCCCAAAAGCGCCATTCTTTAACGTCTTTGGCTAGACGTTGCCACCTCTTAATCGCCATAATTTGGACTTTCCAAAATAATTTAATCAACATTATACACTTGAAAACCTTCATAAAAAGGTTTCAAACGATTCCCATTGACCTTAAAAGTTTTACCTGTATCCGAACTTTGTATTTCAACTGCACCATGAGGAAATGCTTTAGTAACAATAAAAGGACCTACCCATCTAGAACGCAATTTACTAGGAAATAACTTCAGTCTAGAGTGATAAAGTAAAACTTTCCGACCAATAGAAATTTTTTTCCTAGAAATCAGTTGATCATGAAAGGCTTTAGTCTTTTCTTTATATATTCTCGAGCTTTCATAGGCATCATTGCGGATTTCCTTCAACTCTTGCAATTGTAATGTCCTTTGTTCGTTGGTGATTTCCTGCACCAACGGGTCAATAACATCCATAACAAAAACAGAAGACACATCATTAGGGTACCTCATGGCGTCATAAATATTGAATTTAATAATTTCACCATCAAATTCCATGGTGAGTGTACCATCATGCACATCAATTTTTGTCCTGGATGTTTTTAGAAATGGCCTTCCTAATAACATTAGTGTTGAATTAGAAGAGTCATCTTCTTCCATGTCAAGAACATAAAAATCAGCAGGAAAGACCAATCCATTAACTTGTACTAAGACATCCTTCACGACTCCTTCAAGATATACATTAGATCTATCAGCAAGTTGAATAATCACACCTGTTTCTTTTAATGGACCAATATTCAAAGATGAATAAATAGAGAGAGGCATGACATTTATTGAAGCTACTAGATCTAGCATTGCTTTCTCAATCTTAACATCACCTAGTTTGCAAGGGATAGTAAACATACCTAGGTCTTTGCATTTCAGAGGCAATTTTTTCTAGAGGAGGGCTGAAACATTTTCCCCCATACTTATCTTTTCATTACCTTTCAACTTCCTCTTGTTGGTGCACAACTCCTTGAGAAATTTAGCATATCGAGGCACTTGTTTGATTGCATCAAGTAAGGGAATATTTACCTCAACCTTGCGAAAAGTTTCAAGAATTTCCTTCTCTTCCTCTTCTTTGTTAGATTTAGTCAATCTAGTAGGAAGGGGAGGATTTGTCACCAATGCCTTTGGTTGTTCACTATCGAGTCCTCTAGGCTGGTCAGTTTGAGGTTGAGGAGCAACTACTTCTTTTTCCATTTCTTCTCCACCTGTTGCCTTACTAGGTTCCTTCAAATCCTTCCCGCTTCTCAAGGTAACTACACTAGCATTTTGTTTTGGGTTAACAACAGTTTGTGAGGGCAATTTACCTTGAGATTCCAATCTGCTCATAGATGATGCTAGTTGACTCATTTGATTCTCCAGTTGCTGAATGCTTGTTCTTGTCTCCTGTTGAAATTGTTGCATGTTAGTTGCAAGTGATTTAACAATTTCTTCTAGAGACATATCTGAACCTGTGGAGGTTTGTTGTGGTGGTGGAGTAGGTGGTCTAGGCTGAAAGTGTTAGAATGGTGGTCTTGCTCCATAACTGAAATTGGGATGATCCCTCCATCCTGGGTTGTAGGTATTTGAATAAGGATCATATTTCCTTTGTGGTGGGCCTGGAAATCCTCCAGCTACATTGGCATACTCATAGGAATCATCTCGAAGTGTGGGGCACATGTCAGTTGGATGACCGATGGTAGCACAAATTCCACAAGTTTTCACTTGTTGCATATTTCCCACAGCTAACTGTTGAACAATAGAAGTTAGATTGGATATTTGATTTCCAAGGGAAGATATACTTACCTCATTCACCCTTATTGGAGATGTATCCTGCCTGAATCCAAATTGTTGTGAGTTAGCGGCCATGATGGAGATCAAATCTCTAGTGTCACGAGGAGTTTTGTTCACTATGGCACCTCCACTCGCTGCATCCATCATCTTCCTTTCCATGGGTAGGAGTCCTTCTTATATATATTGAATGAGGAGCTATTCAGAAATTCCATGTTGTGTACAGCTTGCACAGAGTTGCTTAAATCTTTCCCAATACTCATGAAGGGTCTCTGTATCTTTCTGTTTAATTCCACATATATCCCCTCTAATACCAGCAGCTCGTGATGCAGGGAAAAATTTATCAAGAAACAATCTCAGCATCTCCGTTGAACGGCTATTCTCAAGTGTACGAAATTGTGCAAGTAATAAAGCTCGAGTAAGCGAGTGTCGAATCCCAAGGGAACTACCTACCAAGTACCAAACTAGTCTATTCTATTGCTATTTGATGAAACAGAACTTTAAGAATGACTTTAATGAAATAAAATAATAAACTAAAAACTAAGCACTAAATAAAGGCAGAGTTTGTAAACACTTTGAAGTAAAAATCAATATGACTAAACCTAGGGCATAGATTTCACACCAATTTAATCCTATACATTGACAATTATTGCTAACCTAATTAAGCTTATTCTAAAAGCCAAATCCACTATTATTCCACTAACTCTCTCTCGAGCAATTAGCAAATTAACCATTAAGCAACAACCCAAGATATCTCTAAGTTGGATTTAGGAGCTAAGAGATCATTAAGCTCTATGGAATTTACCGGAGCCTCACAGATCACGGTAACCTATCTCTAGCGTTTGCTCAATCTATGGTTTTGTTACCTAAGACAAATCAGGTTTCATCTTTGATCTCAACCTAACACATGATATCATTCAACTCTCGGGCCCTTGAGAATTGAAAGCATTATGCACAATAATAAAACTTAGAATTAAAAGCTCAATAAGAATTAACAACAATCCAAGTCAACACATATTCATAAATTGGGCTACATCTTAGCACTAGAAAAGAGATTTAGTTCATAAATACAGTAATGAAAACAATCATTGTATTTAATAACATGAGTTCAAGAAAGAAAAATAGAAAAACTTCTCTAATTTGTGAACGAGAATCGCAAGAATTCCGATCTCCAAAGTAGTAGCCGTCCTTTCTCCTCCTTCAAATCTCTTTAAAACTAATTAAAAATACTTATTTATAGTGCTACGGTTTAGAGGTTACTTAGGAAAAGAATTAAAATCCTTAACCCACTCAAATTCGGATTAGGAGAATGCAATAACCCAAACAGGTCCGAGACCCATCAATACGGCGATCGTTTTCTGTCCCCAGAGTCCACGAACTTCAGAATTTGGTAAAGTGATCAACATGAACTTTGTAGATCTTTGAATAAGCTTTCCAACGCCACCAGAATCGTCAAATTCAGATTACCATAGCTCAAGTTATGATCAAAACATCAAAGCATGCTCATCTTGAAGGATTTCCAGATTTTACGTTGTAGTTTTTACGTGTCACAACTTTCTCGTTCCAACTCCAATGCTTGCACCGTTTGTTCCTAATCATCATGAATTCCATCAACATCATTCTTTTTCCTTTAAATATCTGTTTGAACCTGAAAATACTCAAAATACACCCGTGATCCCGTAAAAGGTATTTATGAAATAATAAATTCAAATTCCAACAATTAAACACCTTTTTTCACAAATAATCCAATTAAATCACTAATAAAATGTATACTTTCAAGCTCTTATCATCCGTCCATGTGGTTATAGAGCCAGGGGGCAAATAAAATAACCAATCCTTTGCTTTTTCAGTCAGCGAGAATGGAAAAGCACGTAATTTGATTTGTTCTTCGGTCACTCCTTGCGGTTTCATGCTTGAACACACCACATAGAATTCCTTCAAATGCTTATAAGGATCTTCATTCTCAAGACCACGAAAAGTTGGGAGCAAATGGATCAATCCAGATTTTAACTCAAAACCCACTTCCAAAGCTGGATATGTAATGCAGAGTGGTTGTTGATTTACATATGGTGCAGCCAATTCCCCTAAAGTTCTCTCTTGTTCATCCATTGTTTCTTCTATTTCAGAGTCACTAGAAGAATCACTAGATGAATCAACCAAGTCAGTACTAAATTAAATTCGGGGAATGAGGATGAAGATGCTTGTTTGTCATGCAATTTAGCTTCCTTCCTAAACTTCCGAGCCGTTTTCTCAATCTCAGGACCGTATTAGAGTTCACCTGCACGAGAAGAACGAAGCATTAAAATAGATCTAATTAACACCAATCCCCAGCAACGGCGCCAAAAATTTGGTGGGTGTCGAATCCAACAAATAATAAAATTCTCACTCTCAAAAAAAATATAAATTGTAACAGTGATGAGCAAGGTCGTATCCATAGAGATTGGGTAAATTTATTTTACTGAAAATTAAAGCAAAGAAAAAAGGGGGTTTTGAGATTTCGAAGTGAGATAAAAGAAAGCAATTATAATCAACTAAAAATTAAGGAGAAATCAATATCAAGCAAATATCCAACCAAAGGTATAATTTCAGAATTGGTTCAGAGAATTAATCACAGATACAAGGATAAAATCTTCTATTCTTCACTAAATTGGTTATGGTTATTAACAAGCTCTAACAACCTATCTCTCCTTACTTCCTCGATAACCAAAACAAGCTCTTTGATTACTTCCCTTGTCAATAAACAACCCTAAACAAGCTCTTAGGATTTAATCTATCGACAACATTAATAATTAGAGAGACTACCAATTCTAGCCAACAAATACACAAGCTCGATTCATTTAGACTAGATTATACATCTTCATAACATAAATCGAAAATCCCTTTATAATCAACTATGTTATTTTACCACTAATATTAGAACACTTAAACAATTACGGATTTAAAGTTCTAAATGGCAATTTATCAACTTGATAATTGAACAACGGGCCCTTTGCATCAATCAATCAAGATAATAATAATTAATAAACATAAAAGATATATAAATAGTAAAGAAATAAAAGAACACTGAAAATTATTTAGATCTCATAATTCTTGAAGAACCAAAACTTCAATTATCCTTCAATTGGAAGAAAAGTATTTAGTTGCACATAATTAAAAGAATGCCTCAAGAAAAGAGAAGAGAGAGAGGTAAAGATAGATGTCTCCCCTCTTTCTTATGAATCTTCTCCCTATTTATAACTTCATCTAATAATAGTTACCCTATCTAGATCAGGAAACTAATTAAAAGCAAATCCCACCAAAATAGGGAGTCTTGGCAAATCTTAGAGATTAAGAAAGGGTAAATAAATCTTTCCACCTGTCATGCATATCTTTTTCTCCAACAAATTCGTAACCCTAGGTCAGAATCTCGGATCCAGTAAGGCACGCCTGCGCTTTATCTGCTGACTGCTTTTGTGAACATTCTGGGAAAACAGGACGTGCCCATGCTTTAAGCAAAATCCGCTTTTGGAATGTATCTCTTTTTGAGCTCCGATTTTTTTCTCTCCAAAACTCTTGATTTTGAATTCAGTTTGATTTAACTCCTCAATCTACTCCACAAAATACGAAACATAATCAAAATCCAAGATTTAAGCATTTATAACCATTAAAACATGAGGAAATATAACAAATATATAGATATTATGAATGCTTATCAGTGACCGAGAGCGAGATCGTTCCCCTAGGAATCAGATGATCCCCAGTAAAACCATAAAGTAGGATGGAGGCAGGCTTTAGGTCTGCCTCGTCTAGTTGCATTTTTGCGAAAGCTTGCTGAAACAGGATATTCACGGTGCTTCTATTATCCACCAACATCCTATGGACTTTGCACCGGCCTATTTCAGGCGTAATGACGAGAACATCCTCATGGGAATGATGCAATCGCACCGCGTCTTTTTCTAAGAAGGTGATATCCTCCTCTCTGCAAACCTTAGCAGGTCGCGGCACCATGCTCATTACACTCACGAGGTCATGACGGGCTTCCCGAGCATACCTTTCCTGGGCACCTCGAGAATTCCTCGCGAGGTGTGGTCCTCCGAAGATGATCCCTACACAATAGAGTCTTTTGCGACCACAACGCTTCTTCCCTGGTTCCTCTTGATCTTTCTTCCAAACGGGAGTAGGGCCATCAATATATTCTTTGAAGTGCCCCTGCTTGATGAGATTTTCTATTGCCTGCTTGAGAGCTTGACACTCATCAGTGCTATGCCCATTATCCTATGATAGCGGCAATACTTTTTATTGTTTCTGGTTGAGGGGGGATTCTTCATGGGCTCTGGCTCTCCAAGCAAGCTGGCCTCTTCTGACTTATCTAGAGTGACCGATACTGAGGTGTTCAAGAGAGTATATTGATTCTTATCGCAATCGCAACGAGAAACTGAGGCATAAGATTTCTTGGGCTTAAATCGATGTTTCTTTCCTTTCCGCTAATCGTCATTAGCCCATCTGTGATCAGTCCTCCTATTCTCCCCCTGGTTGGGAGCAGTGCTCGAGGGATCGGGGTCGTGGCGATTGAGAGCAGCCACAAAATTTTTAATTCAGAGGTATTTTTTGGTGAGGTTGTAGAAGTGAGTGAGGGAAACATCGTCTTCGGATTGTAGTTCCTTCCACAAATCTGTCTGCGAGCAAACTCCAGAGATAATGAGAGTCTGAACGGACTCTTCTGGAAATTTGTCTATATAATATTGGAAGGATTCATCCATCTCTTGTCGTATGTTGCTCAGGTAGCTCAACGACATTGAGAACTTCCTGTTCACCTAGAAGTGTTTCAGGAATTACGAGCTTATTTAAGGCCATGAGCTGACTGATCCCGCGAGAAGTAACCTGAACCAGCGCTTGGCATAGGCAGTCAGGGTCACTACTAAGCAACGAAATTTGGCCAAGTTGGAGACTTGGTAGAGTTCCATGAGGTCGTTGAACTCGTATAGGTGATCCTGCGGGTCTGAATTCCCATCGAATGCCCATATGTCGGGCATTCTGAATCTCGATGGGAAAGGGGTAGTTAAAACTGCTAGAGAAAAGGGATATGCCAGTGCAACCTTCCCACGCTCATTTTGCTAAGCCTTAAGTTGATCCAACACTCATTGTAGTTCCTCAATCTGAGGTAGCGGAGCTTCCTAGGGATCACTTTTCGCAATGTGGGTTCAAGCCTCATGGTTGCGGTTGAGGAAAGATCGCAAATCGAGCTCTTCCTCAACTCGGTCGAAAGCTCTGGCAAACCTTAACACATGTTGGCTGGAGCCATGTGATGGCATTGAGTGATTCGGGGAATTTTCCCAATCTCTGCGGTGGTCCGAACTGACCTGCGGACAATGGGGATTTCTCGCATGACGACGATCAAGGTTGTTATTTCGGATACTGTGAATCTCCCCGCCTTGCACTTTTGTGGGAGTGCTCATGCGACGTGGCATGAGACGGCTGATGCTGTGACATGTCACCGAGTCACAATGCCACAGGGTATTCTACCCGTTGCATGACCGGTGTTCACTGGTCCCTTAGAGCCCTCTAATCCACTGTTTGCCACTTGATTTCCCTTTCTTTGACGCACTACAGTGTGCGCGGTATGGGCTTTCGCCCTTTTTCGCTCTTTTGTGCGACCTGCTGACGTTTTTGGCGGTGGCATTGCCTCATTGGATTTTGGTGGCACGACCCGATCCAAACTATCTAGCCTTTGGCTAACTATTTGGAGAGTATTATTGAAACTCTCCAAGTAACTCATGACGGTTGGGTCGAGCCGCGAGCTTAAAGGAATATCCACCATGATAGTTTGTTGGACTGGCGACACTTCGGGAGAAGTGTCCTCTTGTACCTAGGGGATTTCCTTATTGTCATAGTCAGTTCGCTCAGGTTTGAAACCGCGAGCCATTTACTGATTAGTAGAACCGATTAGTCAGAGATTTCTGATGAAGAGCGGATAATAAATCAGGGCCCTCCTTCTAGCGCCAAACTATTGATGCTTGATTTTGACACCAACAGCTCACACGTGCAAAGTGCTAAACAGACTTAGAAATCACACGTGATAAGGAAACATGAAATGAAACATGAATGAGAAGCGATATTTAAAGTAGTTTGGATGCTCAAAAGCGAATCCTACGTCCACTGCTATTGTATTGATAGATAGGTAAAATCAGGTGGAGTGCGGCAAGCTGAGTTATGATCTAGAGAGAATACAAAAAAAGAAAGAAAGTGTGTAAGCTATTTTAGACTAAGATTAGCCAATCCCGTAAATTAGAAGGTTGTCCTATATTTATAGTGGAAAGTTCAAGGTAATGATTACAAGTCTGTAAGTGGGTAGGTACTGTGCAAATCTTTCTTTGCGTCTCATTGGTTATCTGCACGAGAAATATCCTCAAACTGCGTAGGGCTTGAGCAGGTAGATAATCCTTGACCACTTGCGAGCCTGGCGTTCACCTGTTGCACTGACAAGAACTATACCTCTTCCATCACCGCGTGACGTGGTAGCGCCTAGATGGAATAAAACCTTCAGGAATCCTAATTGGTTCTTACTGACGAGAGTCCACATCAGCCTTAACTTTATAGGCATAACACAACACACACACATTCACATCAAAAGAATAAAAGAAAATTCCATCATTACAAATAATTTAAAAAGGTCCCCGTCGCGTCGAATTGTTCACTGGCGCATCACAAACGCTACACTATTGCTAAGCCGCCATGTTCACCAAACCTTGCTTTGTGCTTATGTAGGAGATGGTAGAAATAATAAGAAAATTAAATTGGGGAAGACGATGTGTGAGGGACTTCAGTTTTACAAAAGGTTATATATATATAGTACTACAAGAAGGATATTGGGTGCGTTTGTTTTAGTATTTTGAATAGTATTTTTGATATTTTTAGAGTTGGGTGGGAATAACGACATAAGATTTAAAAATTAACAAAAACACTCCCCTAGGTTTGTTAATTTATTAAACACCTCTATAATAAAAACATTAAAAATTATAAAAACACACCCACCCACCCATTAAATACCGGTAGCCGGCCACCACTACCATCGGAGGGTAGCCGGAGTTGTCTTATCGACACATGATCGATTGGATCTAGTCGGTCATGTGCCGAGATGGCCTTTTTTCAGCCAGATCTACGGCCAGATCTGGCCATGTTTGGCCATCAATGATGGCCAAAGATATGGCCGTCGTTGATGGTCAACGACGGTCATATCTTGGCCGTCATTAATGACCAACTACGACCAAAGATCTGACTGTTGATCTGGTCGAAAAATGATAGATTGGTGTACTACCGGTCAAATCCAGCTAATAGTGTGTCATTATACCAGATTCTAGCCGCCTTCCAACGGTAGTAGCTAGAATCTGGCAAATGTGGATGTGTGTGGCTATTTTTGTTAGTTTCTAAATATTTTTTTGGGAATAGGTGTTTAGTTAAATTAATAAGCTTAAAGGGTTTAAAAACAGTTGAGCAAAATATAATAATATTTTTAGAGTAAGAAAACAAACCGGTATTTTAAAAGTAGCATGAATTGGATAGTGAAAAAGATTAGACCAAACCGACCAATGTTTTATGTTAGATGCGGTTCTTTACTCTTACAATAAAATGAATTATCAGATGTGATTTTTCCTTTGTATTATAAGTCTTTCAAAAAAGATTTATGGGGATTCACATTATGCTTCTTTAATCAGAATCCGACGTAAATAATACTATACCATTCTTTTGTCAGCCATCTAATTTTATAACAAGAAAACGAAACTCTTTTGTTTCAACAGGCCCACACCTACAGTAACAGACCTAATAATTTTACTTGAAATTAAAACGACATGTTTTAATTGCAACACAAGACCAAAACTAATCACATCAATTCTCTCTCTCTCTCTCTTAATTCTTTCAAATATTTATTTATTTATATATATAGAGAGAGCAAGCACTAGCTGCTTCCAGCTTGTAATTTATCAGACCCACTGCCATTCTGCTCCTGCAGTGTCATATCTTTGTGTAGCATCTCATTTTCTCCCTTAATGAATTCCAATCACTATCAAATGGCAGCCTTTGCTTATAACCAGCAGCAGTTTGTTCTTGACTCGTTTCTTGTGCCAAACACCTCGAACAACATGCTGATGCATAGCATATCTCATGATAATCATAATAGTACTCAGACTACAACCTTTACCACCGAAACTTGTTTTCCTCAAATTCCGCCTAATCATCATCATCAATCTCTTCAGGAGATTCCTTTGCATCCTCAAATCCATGAAACTTCCACTGTTAAACTTTCTTCTTCATGTACTAGTACTACTACTACTGACCTTTCTTTTATTGTAAAACAAGGTTCAGTTTCATCAGCCATGGTGGGTGAGCTTGCTGGAGGTGATCAAGTTTCTCAGGTGGGTTTCAGCTCAATGGATAAGAAGAGAAAGAGCATGGAAATGAAGGTGCATTATTATTAGTTACAACTTCAAAATTACTCTTAATTTGCGTGAACAATATCTGAATTTGATCTTTTGGTTTCATTTTGATTATTAGGTAGAAATGGTAGGCAAAGGTGATGAGAAAGAAAGAAAGTACAGTGGTAACCCAAGAAAGGCTGAGGACAGAAGGGTGAAACGTGCTCCAAAGAAACAGAAGAAAGTTCCTGAAGAAGTTCCAAGTGGTTTTGTCCATGTAAGAGCAAGGAGAGGTCAAGCAACAGACAGTCACAGCTTAGCTGAGAGGGTAATTAAGTGATTAAACAACTCTTTAATTAGTGTTTTATCCCCTTAAAAAGCTTATTTTCTTCTCAATTTGCCGGTCCATTTACTCTCTCTTTCTGTTCAATATCTGTATCTCTTTTTACAAATGAATTTGCAGGTGAGAAGACAAAAAATTAGTGTGAGGATGAAACTATTGCAATCACTTGTTCCAGGGTGTGATAAGGTGACATTCTATTTTCCGGAATATTAAGTTTATTTCATTTAATTTCCTATGAATTCCAAAATTTGAGTGGGCCTGGCAAGAGAAGAATCCCAAATTGATGCCTGGCAGACGTCTTTGACTCTGTGGACAAGGGTCAAGGATTGGCTGGCATGTTTTTCATTCCTTGTTTGAATACCAAATTTGATTCCTTTGAATTACATATATTAACAGGTAACAGGCAAGGCTTTAATATTGGATGAAATTATTAAATATGTCCAAACCCTACAGTCTCAAGTAGAGGTAACCCTTCAACACATATATACCTTAATTAAACAATGATTTTTCATTTAGTTAAACTTAATTTATTGTGTAATCAACCACTTATCATTCTCATCATCATCATCTTAATCTTATTTTCAGTACCTGGCTGCAAAACTTACTTCTGTATATCCCACATTTAATGACTTTGACCTGGACTTCGATACAAACACACTTACCCAGGAGGTAACCTTTACAATTTCTTCATCTACATGCAGTATGATAGATCTATCTTATGATGTGATAACTTTATTTTAATTTACTTTTCATATGATAAATTTTCAGAAGACTTGTTGTTTGGATTTTCAATTGCCACCTGTTCTAGAATCCAACTCCACCCAGCTCACATCTTTCCCTGAGAAAATCAATACTCTAAATTCCCAGCTGTTACCTCTTGATCAGGAGCAAAGATCCAACATTTCCTTTCAGGTACGCATATTTTGATTACCAATGTAAGATATTATATTCATAAGAATATATATTATACAGTTCTAATTAGCTTTAATAATTAAATATTACTTTCAGGATAATGATAATCTGCTGTGGGGCACAGACAGCAACCGGAAACATGAACTGGCTAATTACTGTGGATTAGACGGTTGGAGCTCTCTCTAGCGGTAATTGGGGGAAAAAAAAAAACAAAAAAACTTACAGAAACCTGTAGCTATAAGGTCTTGCTAAATCATATGTCTTACAGAATTTTTGGTTAATTTCTTTGCAGGAAAAAATATCACTGAGGAAACAGAAAACAACTGAGAAAAAGCCAGGCAAAATAAATGCTGATCTACCAATTTATATCCAAGGATAGGAGTTACGCACATAATCTCCTGTAATTTGAAGAGAACTTTCTGCTTTTCATTTCATTCGTTAAAAGAATAGAGTCGCATGCATGTTATCTTCCGGATTCTAAATTATGATGAGTTCATTATATTGCTGCTGAGAAGTAGTTGCCATTTTGTACTGTAATAATCCAATGTTACTATTTTGGACTTATCGACCTGTTAATTAGCTTTTACCTCTTAATTATCTGAAAAAATAAAATTAAACGTCGCTCCAATTCGATGTTTGAGAAGATAAATCCTGCGTTGTTCACCCTTCAATTTCTTTTATATATATTATATGTTGATTTTTTTGTTGTTACTTTAATTGTCAACTGTTACAGTTTCAAATACAAAATTGGACTAAAATAATAATGCCAAACAGTACTTTTAATGTTGAATCTTGCGCATTAAATGGACCCTCCCCCGGTGTATTTGTCAATCAATTTTAGTCCGTCATGGAAAAACTGCATTCGCAAACATTATGACTGAGGGTTTGTAAGGGTACCGATTTGATGTTTCAGTAGGGTTTGTAAGGGTGGGTACCGAATTGATTTACTATATTTATACATATAAATTAAGACTTTGATTTGATTTAATCAACGGTACTGAAGCATAAAACCATAAGAAAAGACCTTTGATTGGTCAATAAATTCTACATATTAAACTATAATAAATTGGTCTTACTTTTAACCTATATAGAGTTTGAAAGATTGTTGAAGTGTTGATTAATTAATATTATATTGAGTTAACTGATTATTATTTAAGTTAAAAATAACAAAAAAAAAAAAAGCTTCACGTTGTTCAAGAACATGAAACCACTATCATTTCAAACGGTGGTTAATTGGCTTCTGAAACTGGTGGTGCTTCGACTGAATTAAAAAAGATGGTTAGTTGCTTTCTTGCATTTGAGGTTTTGGACGGCGATGCTTCTCTGAGAGAAGGAGATTGTTGAAAAGTAAAGAAGTAATTTGAAAATGAAAACAGAAAAAAGCCTGCGGTAGAATACTTTTTTGAAATTTTCTCAGTCCAATTTTCCTTCCATTCCCCGGTCTAATCAAAGTCTAAGAAGGAACTTGATATGTCCAAATCTTATTCCTAAGGTGTGTTTGGTTAGGGCTTTGAAAATATAACTCTCGTAATCTATCTTTAATTTTGAATATTCTCTTGTCTGGTTATCAAGTAATAAAAAATTTTGTTAATAATCCTACATTTTTAACTATAAAACATTCTCCGAATCAAACGCATCTTAGAAAATTGATTATCATCATTACAACCATATATATTCCGTTTGTTTTTATTCTAATTTTCAACAACAGTTTGGTTAGAATATTTTGGATCAGTTGGCTTTAATTGAAATCTTCGATTCATTCAGCATCAGCCTTGTACAAATATTTCTAACCAAAATCCGAACGCTATGGAGGCTTCAAATTGTTCGTACATGTCTCTTCGATTCCTTGTTTGATGTGAATGCCGCCTTTTGCAACAAATCAACAGTAGCAGCCGCCCATGACAAGCACGCAAAAAACAATTTCATCCGCAGCTAAAGATCCAAAAAGTTTCAAAAGTATTGAGCACCAGTAACCTAGCTAGAAAATTCTTTTCCAGTTTTCCTGTAACTTACAGCAATCCAGCTGCATGCCTCGCTAGCTTTTCATCGTATTCCTAGGATCACTTTAAAAAGTGTTTAATTAATTAATATTTCTTTTTTCTCTATTCTTTGATAAGGGTACTTACTCTATTAATGACTCAAAAGTTTACTATAAACCAAGCCCTTTTGATGAATTATAATATCCTATTTAATTCTTATCCCATTTTGTCATCCATAGATATATAAGGTAGTTGAAAAAATAATCATGAATATTTTTGTATATTAGTTTACATTCTTTCAATTTGAAAATTAAATTATAAAGATTTAAATTTACCCTTTCTTATATTTTTATTTCTCTAATTTTCTATTATCCCCTTAATTAATAAATTCTAAAACATATATTTATTATTTTCCTTTGTAATATTTTAGTTTTGAATAATAATATGTTTTTTTTGTTAAATTGTTTTTACTATATATATATTATAGCACGATATTTGTAGCTTAAAAGTCGCTTATCAAAAGTAAAAGTTGCTTATCAAAAGTAAAACTTATAATCATGTGAATTGTACTCATTTTAATATCTAATATATAAATGATAAGATTATTATAAAACAAAATTTTGAAACATATTTATGACCACTAATTTAATATAATTTTGTGATATAAAAGCTGTCGAATTGACATAAAAAATATCGATTTTAACTTTTCTTTTAAGTGCATTAGATTTTTAAGTTCATTAGGTTAATTGTATTAAATTTAATTTAATAAATTAATTATGTTACGAATTTGTGTTACAATAATACAAGTCATAAATGTAGGAATTCTAACATGAATTTCATTCAATTCTAACAATTAATCCGAAGGTTTGCATATTAATTATAGAATACTAAATTTAAAGTTTAATTAGAAAAACCTGATTCTGTCATGACTTTTGAATTTTTTGAATTCCCTGTAAATAGTGACCGATCTTCCTTTAGAGAAACGCTCTAAAATGACGACTTTCAAATAAGATTCAACGTTCAATCACGTTATGGAAAGAAGACCTAGCCAATTTAAATCAACCTATTGGGTCCTCCCATTAGAAGTCCAATAAACTCTAAAACCCATTACAAACGCAAATACATATTTGTTATCAACCCATATTATTCAAAATGAAGTGTACTTTCAAATTCTATAATGATCACTAGGCACGTAGCCACATAGTGGCTTGTGGGTTTAATTGAACCCATTGAACTTTTCAAAAATTTCAAAAAAGTATTAATAGTTTATAGATTTTATAATTTTAACTCCACTTAACTTCATATTGACCCCACAAAAAAAATTATTAATTAATACTTTTTAAATTTTTCTCTTTTTTTTATTTCATCTCTTTTGCTCTCATATTATATTTTTCCTTTGGTTGAATACTCGAGAAATGTTACTCCTTTGGATTACAAGGTATGATGATACTAATTTTATTTTTATTTTTTTATTTAAAATCAATTCTTTTCTTTTAGCTTTCTTAATTGATGAAAGATCATGAGTTATGAGTTTTTATTGAGTTTAATAAATGAGTTTGAAATAATTCCTAGATTTTGATGTGGGTTTTTATTTAATCTTGTTTATGTTGAGGTATGAGTTAATTAATTGCTATTTTAAGTTGAGTTTGATATATTGTGGTTAGTTATTGAGTTAATTTTGAATATGGTTTAGACAATTAATGAAATCCTAAGTTGTAGAGATTTAGGGATTTGGTTTAATTTCGATATATTGATTAGTTGCTTGATATTTAGAGTTAGATTTGATGAGTTTTCATGGGTTTATGAGTTGAATTTTATTGAGTTAGTAGAAATTATTTGAAAAACCTAAGTTATGATTTGAATTTTGATGAATTTGTGTTTATTTTTTAATTATAATTGCAAATAAATTATATTTCTGATAATAAAAATTCTTTTATTTTTTTTAGTTATGTACAAGTTTTTTATCAAAAGAAAGTTTTCTAATGAGGAACTATCAATTGAATAAAACACAAGGCGTCACGATAGTGTTCACAATGAGCCTATGAAATCTAGTTCAAGACAAACATATGTTAAACTTAACTTGAATAGTCTTCCTGGAGATCCGGGATTGAGGATTAAAATTTTAGAATAATCCTAATGATAGAGATAAAGTGAGAAAGACATACTTGCAAAAAGGACCTTGTCAACCACACAATCATAATTTTAAAAAGCGAGTAATTGAGAATTTAATGCGTCGTTGTAATCTCATTCTGCGATGAAGATTGTGAAAAATTGACTACGGAATCGAATGGGAGATCAATTGTTAAATGATTGTCTTATTACATATATTGAGACAGAAATATTTGATAGAATTGTTAATAAAACAATTATGCAATGTTTTCATAATATGAAAAATCATCGAGGGGTATATGTAACTTTTAAAAGTACATTTTGTATGTTTATTACTTCAGCATATATTTTATTGTAAATTTATCAACTTTGATGTTTTGAACTCACTGACTTAGAATCTTGACTACGTCCCTGATGATCACATAAACCCATAGAATATCTTATGATTATGAATTTACTTGGTTTTATCGGACCCAAACAAAATTAATGTTGGTCCACAATTAAAAAAATTTCTAACAATATATAGATATAATATATTTTATGTGGATACTGATCCATAATTAAAATAACATAAATATTTTTTGTACTTAAACATCAATATATAGTTGCCGACAATGCCTTAGTTAGAATCTTAATTACGTAACTGGTTAAAATATGAACGGAGTTCAGAGTGGTTCTTTTTCTGTCCTTGGAGGCCGAAAGATTGAAAATGATATTAAAGAAATTCTTCAAAGCAGAAATTTCAAAGTCTCGTACTTTATCATAATTCTAAATAATGACATACTACGACTTCACGTAAATTAACATGTGATTTTAATCACAACGCTAGAGAGAGACAAAAGGGAGAATAAGACCAAATTTGCGTGTCATAAGTTATCAATTAAGATTTTATGATAAAGATTTTTAATCTGGGAATTATTCCTTTGCTTTCTTGACTAAAACATAAAATTTGTCTTCACCTTATCGTTAATAGGTTTTTAATTATCTCTTATGCTCATTTCGTGTATAAAGTTGACAAACCGATTAACACTGGCAAACTATGACTTTGTTTGTTATACGGGAATACTATTATTAGTATTTCCAATAAAGTTAAAAATATAATTGACTTTTTCTTAAAATATTATTCTATATTATTCAATTTCTTTTAAATCCTCGTAAATTTGTTAATTTAACTAAACACTCTTAAATATTTTTTTAAAAAATTACAAAAACACCCCAGCAACCCTCCGACGGTGGTGGCCGGCTGTCCGTATTTAATGGATGGGTTAAGGGTATTTTTGTTACCTTTTACTATTTTATTATAGGGGTGTTTAGTAAATAAATAAACCTAATGGGTATTTTTGTTAATTTTCAAATCCTACATCCTAATACCCACACAATTTAACTTTTTTCAAAATATTATTCTAAAAAGTATCAGAATAATGAACCAAACGAACCCTGTAACTCTGTAACAGCTGCCTACTTCGGACGAAGGATGAAGGGTTTGAAGATGTTGATGCTTGATTTTGACACCAACGACTCACACGTGCAAAGTGCTAAGTGGACTTAGAAATTATATATGATATGGAAATGTGCAATAAAAGAATAAATGAGAAGCGGGTTTTAAAGTGGTTCGGATATTCAAAAGTAAATCCTACGTCTACTATGATTGCATTAATAGATGGTTACAGGCAGGTCGCGTGCAGCGAGCTGAATTACAATCTCGAGAGAATATATATATATATATATATATATATATATAGAGAGAGAGAGAGAGAGAGAGAGAGAGAGAGAGAGAGAGAGAGAGAGAGAGAGTGTGTGTGTGTGCTTTTGAAAACTAAAGATAAGTCAATCTCGTAAATGAGAGAGAAGTCATATATTTATAGTCGGAGGATTCAAGATAGTAATCATGATTCTGCAATCGAGCAGGTGTGTGTGTGTGTGTGTGTGTGTGTGCGCTTTTGAAAACTAAAGATAAGTCAGTCCCATAAATGAGAGAGGAGCCATATATTTATAGTCGGAGGATTCAAGATAGTAATCATGATTCTGCAGTCGAATATGTATGGTACAATTTCTAACCCACTTCCCATTGGTTGTCTACACAGGAGACATCCCTACATCGCGTAGGCTTGGGCAAGTGGACAATTCCTAACCACTCACAAGCCTGGCTCTCACCTGCCACACTAACGATAGTCTTATCTCTTCCGTCCTTGCACGACGTAGCTTAGATGACACAATGCCTTTCTGAACTCTGATTGTCCTTACTGGCATGAGCTTATATCAGCTTTGATTTTTTAGGCATAACAGAAGACATGGTGCAGAGGATTTAGAATTATCTATCTATCGATAATTTAAATTATATTCTATAAATAATTTTCAGCTTTGTTATTGATCTTACTGATGTTATTTTGTCATTGGGTTTTAAATTTTGATAAAAAATTGCTGAATGAAATTTGTGATGAAGAAATGAAAAAATTCAGGGGAAGATGGTAACATTCGAGCAGCCATGGCTGCTGCAATGCGAGCAGTTTGGGCCGCATGCGTGACAACAGGTCAAGCCGATCTAGCGGCCCAAACTGAAAAAATATTTAAAAATTAAATTAATTAAAATTTAACAAGTAATATTGACGCCAAAATACGAAAGCAGCATTACGTAATGTCAGATTTTTTTCCAGGCGAATCCAAGTGGAGTATGTTCTTTGGATCCCCGTCTTTTCCAAGTCCATGCACAGTTCCATCTGATAGATATAGTGTGATATTTTATTTCCACATGACTAATTTCCGTGTGAGTGTGAAACTTGCCAGAGCAAGATTATGTTATGTTATGCCTGAAAAAAGTGGGCTGACACAAAACTCTGTCAACATAAGTAGTTAAAGTTTAGGTAAGTTCAGTAACCATCTAAATACAATCATGTAGCACGTTAATGTAAGAGACGTGCTCCCTATTCGTGTCTTTTAATTACATTTAGTTGGTGTCAAAATCACACATCAACATGTTTCTTCAGACAATATGAGAGGGACAGTTGTCATAGTTCTTGACTCAGCTTCACTTACTTCCGATTCTGAATTCTGTATTAGCCCCACCCACATGGCAAATTGAAAAAAAGGAATGGGAAAGAGAAAGATAAAGGCTACAAAGTTTAAGAGAGACAGAACAGAAGGACGGTACATGCATGAATAAGAGCTCAACTTGTTTTCGTGTAGGTTTAGTTTTAAGCAGAGGAAGTATGCTGGAAATATCCTACAAAAATTAATAAACACATTGCTGTATTTTATTTGTCCGACAAAGAGAAATGCAAGCCACCGACGACCCTCACTCAAATCGAGATGCTCATATGAGAAATTGAGCATTTATTCATACTATTCCTAATTTGTTCTATTTATCTGGGTTATCTCAAATATATTACATATCTTGAGATAAAATAAAATTTTGGATTTGTAACATTGAGTAGAATATAAATTTGAAGTAAAATTCAACAAATAACTTGAATAAATAAATAAATCTCATGGTGTTACATGAGGAATAATCCTTTAATCTATTCTGTTGTACTATTTGTTTCTCTTATAAGTTTTTATATTGTGATAAAATCTTCTTTAAGAATGGCTAATTAAACTACCAAACAAATGAATGGGACTGGATACATATGTAGTTCTTCTTGACAAGATATGCACGCAGAGATTCATCTATTGTCTATTTGATGGTAGATTATGTTGCTATAATCAGGAAATGATGTGAAATAACATTAAAACATTTTTTTGTCAACTATCTCTAAATTATCTAATTTCATGACAAGATAAGAAATTCCATCCTTCCCGAAAAATCCAAAACACTAGTAATTTTGCTCGGAATAAATGGACAATATTCCTAAAATGCAAGCCAAGACAAAGAGAAATCACATCAATTAATGTTTTTTCTCTAAACTCTCTTCTCTCTCTATATATATGTTGACACGATCCTGTCACAGACATGTTATTGACCATCTCCTGCTCCTTCTACACTGTGTTTATCATCATCCATCTTATTAAATTTTCTCTCACTCACAGCTTTTCATTTAATTCCAATCAGTCAAATGGCAGCCTTTTCTAATGATCAGGATCCTGCTTTTGTTCTTGGCTCGTTTCTCGGGCCAGACTCCTCGAACAACATGTCTAGCTTCAATGAGGAAGGAACCTTTAATAGCTGTTTTTCTGAAACGATGCTGCCTAATAATCATGAATATCTTCAGGAGATTCCTTTGCATGCTCAAATCCATGAAACTACCCCTCTTTACGAAAACTCCATTCCTTTTTCGTGTATTTCTGATACTTCTTTGTCAACAGTAGTTGTAAAACATGATTCAAATTCATCAGCCATGGTGGTTGACCAGCTACTTGGTCCCCGTGTTGATCAAGTTACTCAGGGGGAGAACCGAAGCCCAATGGAGGAAAAGAGAAAGAATATGGACAGAAAGGTACATTTTAAAACTCGAATAATCTTTTTGATTTCACGAACCTGCTTTGAAACTGAGTGAATTTGATCAGCTTATTCTGTTTTCGTTTCATTTTTTATTTTATTTGGAAAAAGACCGATGAGAGAAGGACCAAACGTGGTGCAAAGAAACAGAAGAAAGCTCCTGAAGAAGCTTCAAGTGGTTATGTTCATGTGAGAGCAAGGAGGGGTGAAGCCACTGACAGTCATAGCTTAGCTGAGAGGGTAGTTAACCTGTAAACCCTACAAATTAACCTTGAGACCTCTTGTCTAAAGTCATCCTCTTTAATTTTCAACCCCTGAATGAATTTTTTCTTTATTAAATGAATATTTTTCAGGCAAGAAGAGAGAAAATCAGAATAAGGATGAAGCTACTGCAATCACTTGTTCCAGGATGTGACAAGGTGACATTCTATATATTTTTACATGATTTTTATGTCCTACTTACGAAGAGAGAAGAATCAAAATCTCTTTGTAACACCAACTTAATTGGTGCCAAGATCATATTGGCCTGGTACAAATCATAAACGACTAGTAGTTTTGAGTTTTTGGTCGGGTTTAATTCCCAATTTGCTTTTTTTATTTTTCTTCACCAGAAAGATCACAGGAGTTAGTTGTCATGGAAACTTTTTCCTTCTTAATTAATTATAACAGATGATTGGAAAGGCTCTCATACTGGATCAGATAATTAAATATGTCCAAGTCCTACAGATTCAAGTGGAGGTAATTGAATTGTGATTTCATTTACTTCAACTTATTTTGGTACCCCACTGCCACTAATATTCATTCTCATCTTCAGTTCCTTGCAGCAAAACTTGCTTCTGTAAGTCCCATATATGACTTTGAAGTGGACTCCGACTCACACACACTTGCCCAGGAGGTAATTAAGTATCCATGAATATCAGTGTACGGTTCTGTCATCTTATCTTTAATTAATTTTCATTTAGTAATTAAAGTCATGAATTGATTTCAGAAGACTCGCAGCTTGGATTTTCAATTACCAGCTGTTCTAGAATCCAGCTCCACCCAGCTCACATCTTTCCCGGCAGAGAGTTCTACACGTATTGGACCAAATTTCCTGTTACCTAATCAGGAGCAAACTTTGATAATCAATCAGTTTCAGGATAATACCAATCAGTTATGGGGCACAGATGACAGCCAGAGACTTGACATTGTTAATTACTTTGGTTCAGACAATTTGAGCTCTTTCTAGTGGCAAATTAAAGTGAAAAAAAAAAACTAACTTCCCACCTAGGTAAGGTTTTCTTGATTCCAAATTTCACTGACAGATATGATATCTTTGCCTTTACTAAATTATATACAATCTTACTATATTTCATTTGGCTTCTATTGGCAGGCACCTTGATCAACAACATTTAGAGAACCAGAAGAGATCATCGTGACAAAATTAATGCGACGACAAAATTTCGATATACTGTGCGCTGAAGGGTCTCGATGATCTCTACTATCTCTATCAAAGGATTAATTATGATTTCATTCTCTTAATGCTAAGATGTAGTTGTTTGTTGTAATGTAATTGTCATATTTTCTTGTAATGGGGAGTATGATTTTGTAATTTCTAGCTGTGTAATCTAATTGTAAGAGGATTGCTTTATTTGTTGAATTGTATTCCACTTTTCCTTAAAGGATTTCTGATGGCTTTGTTATCTTATTTCTGTTATTTCTGTTCTATGTATCTGTCATTGAAATTACTGTAGCATGGATTTACATTAACACTGAACTGAAAATAGTTTTTTTATAATCAATTCATAGCACTTTGGTCCATTCCAATCCAATATTGTTTAAGATGTAGACTTCTCCAAATATCGCCCCATTTAATATTAGAGTAGTATTTTTTACTATTACGATCCCGTTTGGAGCCTCCATATGGTGTCAAAAAAATTCAAGTCATAGTATTTTAACTTATGCATATAAAACCATATAAAACTTAAAAGTGCAACATATTTTATAATTATCCATCATTAATTATAATCCACCGATGATGTTTTGACGTAATAAAAGAGATTTTAGAAAAAAGGTAAACTTTGTTATTAGTCAATTATATTAGGTAATCAGTCCCTCTAATTAAAACAGAAAGAACGCTCCAATCGCTGCTCTTGCTCGATCAACTTAATACAGTGCAATTGTTATGAATCTCGGTAAAACTTTTTAACTACAATAATTGGAGGGTAATAAGTCAAACTGGAGTTAACAAATTTAATTAATAGAATAGAATCCTTTAATAATTATGTCTCACATCTAATCTATATAGAGTTTGCGTGTAGAAAATTAGCATTAATCACGTTGATTTTGAAGAATGTAGAAGCCATGTTTGTTTATAATTCTAAGGAGAAATATTCAGGTTCACGTTCGGTGGACTAGTGGACTTCACGTTTATTAAAATTATTTTCAACGCCTATAACTGTTGTCGGAAAGATACTACTATACAAGCACAGTAACCTTATATTTGACAAGTATAATGCATTGAATTTCAAGGAGAAGAACAAAGAATGAATTTCTTTTTAAAAACAAATAAAACAGAAAAGAAATGAAAAGAAAATACTGAGAAAGAGTACTCATAATAAATCCTGAGTATAATCATCATTGGATTGTTGATAGTAAAAAAGCGAAAAGAGATTCTATAAGTTTCTAAATTCGACTTTTCTCAGTATTAACGAAAATAGTGAAACTCTTATCTGATTAACAGTTTTAGGATTCTGAAAGATTAATTAAAGTGTACACAAACTGACCCAAATATCTCATATGATATATATATATATATATATATATTTTGTGAGCACCCACAATTTATTATGTAATATAGCAAGTGCCAACCCATCCCAACTTCCACAAGGTTAAGGTCAGATCACATTCTGAGATAGATATGTTGTTAAGACTTAAGACTGGACTGTGGAGAGAGCGATCAAATGTCTCACGTAAGTCTAGTTTTCCTTTGGAAATAGGAATTTTACTACGATACAGCTAGAAGCGCATGCCTAGCTCACCTTTTTCTATGTTCCTGTATTTGATTTTTCACTGGTTATAGTTGTTGTTGGAAACATACTACTATAAAGCTACTGTAACATTGCTTACCAGTTAATTTCTCTTGAATTAGTATAAGTTTTATATATATATATATATATATATATATATACCCAAAAATTATTAAGCCTTTAATAGTTGTTGCACTGTATCCACATTTTGTCTGGGAGCAAAAACTATACGCAAAAGTTTCAAAGTCTTGAGTTGAACACGAGTGTCTGACCCGGCTTACATAATAGTTTTAGTTGTTTTGTTTTTGAGATGCATCGCCTCAAAAAGCATGTTAATTATGATCTCGTTTGACGGCAATATCTTAAAGATAACCATCCTTGTCTCTTAAAGTCCGATTACAGACGGCGTATTAAGCTTTTGAAAGAATCCAACAACTTCATGGATGACCTGTTTCGTGGAAACTAATAAAAGGAAGTCCATCATGTTAATTTCAAATCGATATATTTGCATGATTAAAAACATGCACAAACTGAATGAACTCAATATTCTTATCACTATAATCATATAATTTGACTTTCCCTCTGTTTTGAGAAGCCAATGAAAAACAGCTGCATGCTTCGCTTTCGCACAATTTTGAACATCGAAGATCTCCGATGTTGATAATTGAACTTGTAGGCCTCCACCTCTTTTTAATTACATTTTTCACGCCTTAGATTATAGATAGCATGGTTATATCGTATCGTGTATCAAAAACTTAATTTTTTGAATCGTGTATCGCGTATCATATCGTAAAACACGCTTTTTTAAAAAAAATTAATAAAATAATCAAAATTTTCTAAAAATTAATATAATCCCCAAGATTAATTAAAGAATTTTGTGTTATTATTAACTTTAAATTACGGTATTACATAATCAAAATTAATCACAAAATTCCAAGATCATTGTCAATATCTATATCTCCACTTATATTATTATTATCATGTAAAATGGGTAATACATATTCCTCTTCACTTTCTTCATGCAAAATAGGTAAATTTGGACAGGTTTTAGTGAATCAGGTTGGGTGACCCGGTTTCGACCTGAAATTTTTTTTGGACCTTTGGCCCAAATTAATAAAGTCGTATCGACTTATATCGATATTTTTAAGGATACGAATAGATACATATCGTATCGTATGATACATATCAACGTATTGAATGGTTTAGGATACACTCTTTGATATGTATCATTGGCGAGCTGTATCGAATCGTATCGTATGATACGTATCGGGTATCGTAGGATACTAACAACCATGATAGATAGTATTAATAATTTCCACGAATGGTGCAAGAGAATTCGAGGAGATGTGGAAATATGTAACCAGGGGCGGAATCTGTCAGGAAAGAGAGGGTCGAAACAGTATCACACAACAGAGCATGGTTATCAAATAGTGTATCGTATCATGTATCGAAAACTTAATTTTTTGAATCGTGTATCGCGTATCGTATCGTATCGTAAGATACATCTTTTTCAAAAAAAATTAATAAAATAATCAAAATTTTCTAAAAATTAATATAATCTCCAAGATTAATTAAAGAATTTTGTGATATTATTGGCTTTAAATTACGGTATTACATAATCAAAATTAATCACAAAATTCCAAGATCAATGTCAATATCTATGTCTCTACTTATATATTATTATCATGTAAAATGGACAATACATATTCCTCTTCACTTTCTTCATGCAAAATAGGTAAATTTGGACAGGTTTTAGTAAATCGTGTTGGGTGACCCGATTTCGACCCGAAATTTTTTTTTGACCTTTAGCCCAAATTAATAAAATCGTATCGATTTATATTGATATTTTCAAGGATACGAAAGGATACGTATCGTATCGTAGGATACATATCAACGTATCGAATGGTTTAGGATACACTCTCTGATACGTATCGTTGGCGACCTGTATCGAATCGTATCGTATGATACGTATCGGGTATTGTAGGATATTAACAACCATGCAACATAGTAGAAATTGAGACATGAACAATTTACATGGAAAACTGTCAAACAAATTGAGAGAAAAACCACGGGCAAATGTATGAGGATTATACCAATTCAAGTACTAACAATTTAAATTTTGAAATTTTTTTTTTTTTTTTGGAACTGACATGACAATAAAAGAGGNTTGTAGGCCTCCACCTCTTTTTAATTACATTTTTCACGCCTTAGATTATAGATAGCATGGTTATATCGTATCGTGTATCAAAAACTTAATTTTTTGAATCGTGTATCGCGTATCATATCGTAAAACACGCTTTTTTAAAAAAAATTAATAAAATAATCAAAATTTTCTAAAAATTAATATAATCCCCAAGATTAATTAAAGAATTTTGTGTTATTATTAACTTTAAATTACGGTATTACATAATCAAAATTAATCACAAAATTCCAAGATCATTGTCAATATCTATATCTCCACTTATATTATTATTATCATGTAAAATGGGTAATACATATTCCTCTTCACTTTCTTCATGCAAAATAGGTAAATTTGGACAGGTTTTAGTGAATCAGGTTGGGTGACCCGGTTTCGACCTGAAATTTTTTTTGGACCTTTGGCCCAAATTAATAAAGTCGTATCGACTTATATCGATATTTTTAAGGATACGAATAGATACATATCGTATCGTATGATACATATCAACGTATTGAATGGTTTAGGATACACTCTTTGATATGTATCATTGGCGAGCTGTATCGAATCGTATCGTATGATACGTATCGGGTATCGTAGGATACTAACAACCATGATAGATAGTATTAATAATTTCCACGAATGGTGCAAGAGAATTCGAGGAGATGTGGAAATATGTAACCAGGGGCGGAATCTGTCAGGAAAGAGAGGGTCGAAACAGTATCACACAACAGAGCATGGTTATCAAATAGTGTATCGTATCATGTATCGAAAACTTAATTTTTTGAATCGTGTATCGCGTATCGTATCGTATCGTAAGATACATCTTTTTCAAAAAAAATTAATAAAATAATCAAAATTTTCTAAAAATTAATATAATCTCCAAGATTAATTAAAGAATTTTGTGATATTATTGGCTTTAAATTACGGTATTACATAATCAAAATTAATCACAAAATTCCAAGATCAATGTCAATATCTATGTCTCTACTTATA